TCATTAAGTATTTACTGGATGGCTGCCTGTGGTATGGAAAGACAGACTAGATTTGTCCCAAGCAGTTTCTAAGTTTCCAGGTTAATAGATAAGACAACGCGGACAGACACAACCCATTTATGAGGCTCACACTGTTAATCAATGTTTGAAAGGTGTAGCTGAAGTTCAGTTTACCCATTAATTACATACTGGAGTTTGTCAAGTTATGGATGTACCCTTGGTATAGTTTGCTTTATTTAAGGTACTTTAAGTTCTGTATTTTTTCATAAAAGTAAACAATTTATAGAATCTACTTACAGCTTAATTATAAGAGGGACCATGTGTTACAATTTATTTGAGAATCTCCTAACAAGTTTTAATTGCCAGTTTTAAGTGAAGCATTTCTTAGTTATGTATATCCTTTTCCTCACTCCTCATACAGGTTTTCTAATAAAAGCCTATTTACAAGGGACAGCATCTAAAAGAAATCTTTTTCCTCAACATAGTGAATCAGAAGTGGATTTTCATTCTAGTTTTGATATTTCCTTTGGAGGCTCCATCTTACAAGGAGCAGCTGAGGGAACTGGGGTTGTTCAGTCTGGAGAAGAGGAGGCTGAGGGGAGACCTTATCTCTCTCTACAGCTACCTGAAAGGGGGTTGTGGTGAGATGGGTGTTGGCCTCTTCTCCCAAGTAACTAGTGATAGGATGAGAGGAAATGGCCTCAAGTTGTGCCAGGGGAGGTTTGGACTCGATATTAGGTAAAAATTTCTTTACAGAGAGAGTGTTCAAACATTGGAACAGGCTGCCCAGGGAGGTGGTGGAGTCACCATCACTGGAAGTGTTCAAAAAACATGTAGACGTGGCACTTCAGGATACGGTTTAATGGGCTTGGTGGTGTTGGGTTGACAGTTGGACTTGATGATCTTAAAGGTCTTTTCCAACCTTAATGATTCTGTGATTCTGTGAATTACAATCTTGATCAAACTTCCAACATGGCGGGGAGGGGAAATGAACAGAATGAATGATGTATTGAAAACTACAAAATCCTAAAATTTGTCAGATATTCTGCACATAGTCTACAATCACAAATGACATAGCATTTTTTTCCTAGAGTAACCATTTATCCATTATAATAGTTATATTTTTAAATAGGTCAAGTAGCAACATGTCTTAAATACGAAGACAGTATTCTCTGTTTAAGAAAATAAATTTCCCCTGTTAATAGATAAGATACAGAAAAATACAAGTGGCATGAGATAAAACTCCCTTGGGATACAGTTTCTGCAGAAGCTGTATCCCCGAAGAGAAAAATTTGCAAAAGATCTGGAAGTAATTAGAAACTATTGTAGTGTTGAGGCTAGGGAAAAAAAAAAAGAATAAGAAAAAAGCAATTAAAATCTAAATCTCATGTAAGAAGGAACTACACTGCAAAAATTATTGTATTGTTTTAAAAAATTGTATGGTTTATTGAAGAAATCTCTCACTCCAACAGCAACACAGCTGTGACATGCTTAAGTAGGCTGAGGGAACAAAGACCAGCTAATCAAGCACAGATCTTGTCAAACATAACACATCTTCATCCGTTTTATGTTAAAATAGACTAAATCCAAATGAAAATGTCTGTTTTATGAAAAGTGAAAATCATTACATGTTTATTATCAATTATCTAGAAAAATGTATTTCAAGTACTTGGATGTATGCTTTTGGTTTATATAAGAGATTAAGAAAATAAAGCTTTCAAATTAACCTGAATTTTAATCTAGTGAAGTAGGTGGGAATAAAAAAATTAAATGGGTGCAGGGAAGCAAGTTACAATACAAGAGAGATTCTGAAAATACAAAGAGTACAACTTTTTGTTCTTCCCCAAACCCACAAATGATGCACTATCCCTACAGGAGTTCCTTTAAAACTTAAAATCTATTTTTCACAGAAACTCCAAATTCCTTTGGGGGAAAGGCTTGATTGCATATCCCTCAGAGTCTAAAAGGCTGCCCATATGAACTGAATTATCCATGACATGTACCTTCAGACATTTGTAATGTGATATTTCATGTAAATTTAGACCATACCTTGGACGTGGGCCGCTGGCAATGTTGATTTTATTCAGGAGCTCAGATAAGAAAAAAAATTCTGACATCCTTGCTAATCTGTAGTCGTTAACATGGAATTTCCAACATAAAGAGCATAAAAGCATCTAATTTGCTGTGGCAAATGAAAGGAAAACAAACTTCGCATTTCCCTTTCCTTTTCAATGTCTAAAGTTACTCTGTTCCGTGCAAACAAAATTGTACTTTTCAAAGGTTTTTAATATCGCCATCTATCTTTTGAGTGACACATTTCAAACTTCCCCACATAATCTGTAAAATGCCATTCAATTTGAATATAAAGTAGTTACCCGTGTTAAGAAGAAAAGTCCTAGTTACATTAGGATTATTAAAAGCCGTAGTACTTTATATAGTGTTTCCAGTCCATATTACTCAATTTATCATATGGAAAAGCTCAGGCAGCACTATCTAGTTTGTTTGTAGAGATGAATTAACCTCATTTACTGCAGAGAACATCTCCTAAGCGCCTAATTCCAAGTTCTGCTAACTACAGGTGGATTACAATATTTGTCTGTCTGCCATTCTTTTCTTCTAGCCACCTTATGTATCAGCATTTTTATAGCATTTACCTCATGTTTTCTTTTGACAAATAGTTTTAAAATGTAAACAGGAAAAAATAACTACTTTTTTTTCCTGCAGGTTAATAGAACTACAGACCTGATTGTTTAGTGCACCTACAAGATTAAATACAATATTCTGTGAAGATGCAATTTACAGGACCAATACTTTTGGAGTTAGGAAGGTGAGGGGAGGAGAATGCAATTTGCACCATTACAGCCCCCTGTTGACCAGTTCCTGTAGAAACATTTAACATCACCAACAAATATTACAGCATTAGCTTCTGAAGTACTTAGTGATAAATGGACACCAGGAGACAAAATCTTCCTTCTTAAGAAGATAAGGAAACAACCCTGAAGTATCACATGGGGTACAAAAAATAAAAGCTTGCCATTTCCACAAGTAATTGAGTAGATGCAAAATAGCTGTCCCAAGCAAACATTGAAGAAAATCAATAAAAGTTCAGAATTTCAAAATGAATAGGGTCTTCACATTATTTCAGTTATAAAATAAAGCTTATTTTAAAAATCGTAAAATATTTTGAAATAATAAATAACATATATAATAGTCATAAAAATAACAAATTGATTTAGCTGCATTTGTTACATAGCTTTACTAGGACGTCTGAAGAAAAAGCATTGCAGAAAGAGCTTAAATTTCTCTCTCTTCCTTTCAATCAATATTTGAGGCAAAGTTTCATCTCTAGGGCCCTTAATGGCAGGAATTCTTGGAGCCAGCAAATGAGTAATGTTAAACCTATGATTAGATGATGAGGCCATCAAAGACACTAGACCCTAATGCTACATTCCACTTTATTCCTGAGAACTGCAGTAAACCCAAAGGCTAGGGAAGAAAGGACTGTAAGTTATTCCTTCCCTCAAGAAAACGTTTCAAAAGCTGCTAAAAAAAAAAGTAAAAAAAAAAAAAGTTGCATGACATGAACATAGAGCTCAAAAGCCTTAATGGATCTTTTGGAATTTTCCTGGAACCCAGGACTTCACCGTTAGGTAACAAATTTTTCAAATGCCCTGCTGGAGAAGGTTTGAAGTTCAAACCCCACTGAGGATTCCTGCCAGGGATGTATTTTTCTTTTACTTTTCCCTAACCAATATCCACCCTGGCTAAAAGAAGAAGAAAAAAAAGGAAGAGAAAAAATAAAGGAAAACAAGATTTAATGGTTTCCTTATGACAGAAGCTCGAAGAAACACAACCTACAGACTGGCAAACAGCAGGTAAGTTGGAACCCCCTCCCCCAAAATCAGTTGTAAATGTTAATTGTTTTCAGATAGATTCCTCAAAAGTAGATCTTCATTTCAATTACCCCTAGAAACTCATTTGTTTTTCAGTACAAAAGGTTTATGGTGCATGTTCTCAATGTGCAGCAGTGAATGCTTAAGTAAAGCTACAAACAATTAATTTTCCTTGGTAATAATATAACAAGTTAACCTGCCCATTTTATATAATAACTTGGCTTGAGTTTAACTGGTATTACAAATCTGTGGGGAACCTGGTAAATGAAACACTGTTAATAAGCCTTTAAAGAAGTGTAAAAACATCTGAAATTTGGATCTGTTAGGCCATCATATTCTTCTTGTATTTTACAAAATGAGCAAAATTCTAAAATGTTTGTTGATAACATATTACTGGCAGTTTAAAGTAAAAGACTATATATATGAAATTAGCCAATAACACTTCTGTCAAAACAAATAAAACTAAAATTAAGATAGAGATAATCCAAACAGTATGAGGAATTATTTAGTTTTGATTATTTTAGTTGTGAAAGCAATTCAAAATGTTAATTGATTCAGATTTCTAAGAAACCCATTACAGCTATGCTAAAAAATAATTATTAACTGCAGCATTTTAAAAATAGAAATACTCCGCTTCTGCCAGTTCCTGACTACCTAAGCCATGTTCTTCTGCTTTTTATATTCTGGTAGGTATATAAAATATCCAATAAGTTATGTCAAGTATATAAAAAATAATAAAGTCACCACAAAGGTTTTAAAAATTACTAATTCAAAGACAGATTTCAACATAAAATTATGAGAACAGTACCCTGTTTACATATTCTAAATAAGAACTGGCTTGAAAGAGAGTTCATACACAGAAAAAGTGCATAATGTACATCCATACACTTTTACAAAACAAATGTAAATGTGTTGTATACCCTGTGATTATAGAGAATTTATGAAACATTAAAAAAAACTACATTTTATATGTTACCAGAAGAGACTATTCTGTGTTTTCTTATACTGAAATGGAAGAATGAATCAAACAAGATATAATTCTTAGTCTGGCAGTAATCCAGCACTATGCAAAGAAACTAATACAATTAGAACCAGAGATTGTCTTACCTGTGAACAAAGCAGCATAACAAGTTCAACCACTGAAGTACTTGACTTCATACAAACCAGACCTGCAATAAATAGTCAAGAATTAAGTCTTTTTGGCTTTTAGCTTGTTCAGTATTTAGCTAAATAAATAATTAACTACCTATCTATATAATCTGAAGCAATTTAATATACAATCAACATAAAAAACCAACCACTGAATACTAAATTCTACAAATTCTTAAGAATAAACTGATCATATATTAACAAGTAGAGAATAAGGCCTCTGCTTAGAAATAATTTTAATTTTTATCTAGTAATTGATTTTCCTGTAATTGAAAGCTCGAGTATTGATGAAAGAGGTATTCATGTGAAATTGTATTTTTCTTAAAATTATAATCCCTGATTTGTAGGCCGTGTTTCTTAAAACAAACTTTGAATCATGCATTGTAACTGTTACTCATTGTTTTGTACTTAATTTAAATAATCAATACCTAATAATATTTCCATATTATCAATGCTTGTTGGCAGCTTTGGAAATGCAAATTTACTTTCTGAGAGAAGGATAGACTATCTAAGTACTTAAAAGATGCATTGTAAAAAGACAAGGATGAGATTATAGTTCTATCTACTGTTAAGTGTACATATGGTAGCTTCTGTTATCTAAAATCATATAGACAGTGATATCATGGCGTAGGGCAGGGAAACACTTCAATTGTGTTATAAAAATGATAAATTCACAAATATAAAGCCTACAACTAAGGATTAAGTAGGAAGCTGAAAAGCAAACTGATGTGCTTTAAGTAGGTTTCTACAAACAGCAATTAGAGACAATAGCACGTGTATTTATTGCGGGTAGTGCATAAATACTCTTTTGTGCCCATTCTGCTAACAACCCCATCCTTATTGTACAGTAACACAGAACAAGCTGTAAGAAGCCACTAGGATCCCATTCTATCAGATATATGGGCAGACAGTTAACTAATGAAATAAGAGGCAGATGTGCAAAGCTCATTTAGGGAGACAATTGCTGTAATTGATCAGCTATGCTCATGCTGAAGTGCTAGAGGATCCGAAAGATTAATGGGATACTTATCACCTGCAGGCTACCTCCACTGTTTGAAAGCTGACAAAGAAAATCCAAACAGAAGACTGAACTCTATCGTTAAGCCAGTGCAGGTAGCACAAACATATCAAATATTTTAACATGGAATATTCTCTGCTTTATTATGAATCCACCTCATATTCCATAAAACTAAAAAAAAAAAAAAAAAAATCTTTTCTGTCATATGCTCACTTATTTTCTTTCAAAATCAGACCTCAGGTGTATTAAAATATGATTGAGTCAAAATAATGCTCTTAGAAACATATTCCTATGCTACAATCTTCTACATTTGTAGATGTCTTTATCTTCTGATTTTACATCAGAAGAACAAATGTCTCCGTCATACACAGTTATGAAAAAATAAACCAATTAATTTATATAACAAAAGTTTATGCATCAGCATTAATTTCTTCCTATCTTCACCAGGTTTCCAAAAAGAATAGAAAACTCAGTGTAAAATATACACTTTAAAGAACAACGCATAATGAATATTTCCTGGCCTAATTCATTAAATTAGAAGTTCTTAACTTTCAAAGACAGTTGGTGGTACTTATGCCACCTGTGTAGCTTCAAACAACATGAAAGAAAGTTTTGAGCACAGATCAAAATAAACATGCCTCAAATGGCAATAGGCTAGGATAAGTACTCATAATCTAGATAAGTCTTAATGGCACAAATGCTGAACGTACAATAAAACAGGACTCTCTGATTGAAGGAAGATTATTATAATTACCTTAGTGCAAAATGTTCTGGTTATGATAATAAGAATTCTTAAACACTATAATTTTTAAAAGCCTGATAATTCTATGGGCTTGAGTAAAATGATCATCTAACCTAAAATGGGTGTCTTTTTTCTAGTTGTACAGACATTACTTGATAACTTTTTGTATATCACATCTCATCAACTAAAAACACAAACATGATCTGAGGGATGGAACACCTCTCCTGTGAAGACAGGCTGAGAGAGTTGGGGTTGTTCAGCCTGGAGAAGAGAAGGCTCCAGGGAGACCTTACTGCAGCCTTCCAGTACTTAAAGGGGGTTTGTAAGAAAGATGGGACAGACTTTTTAGCAGGGCCTGTTCCGATAGAACAAGGGGTAAAGGTTTTAAACCAAAAGAGATAGACTTAGACTAGATCTAAGGAAGATATTTTTCACAACGAGGTTAGTGAACCACTGGCACAGGTTGCCCAGGGCAATGGTGGATGCCCCATCCCTGGCAACATTCAAGGTCAGGTTGGACGGGGCTCTGAGCAACCTGATCTAGTTGAAGATGTCCCTGCTCATGGCAGGCGGGTTGGACCAGATGACCTTTAAAGGTCCTTTCCAACCCAAAGATTCTATGATTCTATGTAGCATTCTAGCATCAGAAAGGAGAATCAAACATTGTGGTGAAATTAGGAAAAAGAGAGAGGAGGATACAGAACTGACATCTGGTTAGCACATCAGCACATCCATCAGTTGTAACCAGCGCTTGAATTGCCTGCTGATGAAACAACCATTGATAATAGCCATTAACACCTCTCATAACCAGTGGTATTCAAAACCTGATGTTTTAAGAGGCTGGTTTTCATGTCAAAAAGAAACAAATAACTGTCTTAGAGACTGTAGCACTTTTCACATGTGAAAATACAGAGGGAGATAGGAAAGCCTCATAAAAGAAGCTCATGGTGTCAAAGATGGATGCAAGGAATCCTGGCAGAGAGCTCAGTCTATGGCAAAAATTAAGTGTGCAGCACTTTTTATAAATAATTTAAAACAAGAGTAGCCATAACTACATAGCTAAGAAAATAGGGAATCCCATGCATCTTGATGGGTAGGAAGAAGGAAATAGAAACAGAAATACTTTCTATTCACCTTTAACTATTCATATCACACATTCCTTGAAGTAAAACAGAATACAGAAACTTGAAACATTCATAACAGGGCCACCATTTCATGTTATAATTTTCTTGCTAATCAGCCTCCTACTCCCACTTCAGAGACTCCTTCCACTCAAATCACATGAGGGAAAGTGTGTGCCCTCCATTACATGCTCCATTTCCTCCTTCCTAGCTGCTAAGGGCTCTATTTTGGTGTCCCTTGTGCATCTTCCCATTTTCACTTATTCCTGATTAAGCAGGAAAGATTTGAAATAAATAAATATTTTTTTTCCTGTTACACAAAACACAATTAATCTTCGGAGTTTACTGTCAGAGCTGTTGTGGAGTCAATGGTAGAGAATGATAAAAACAGATCAGACCTGGTGGAGGACAGATCCATTTCTGGATCCATTTCCTTTTAGGAAAATCTGTCAGAATGCAATCTCTGGTTTATGAAGATCCCACATAATCAAAAGCTGTAGGAGAAGTTAAGGAAGAATGATCATCCCTGTCCTGCTGAATATCCTACATAGACCAGAAAAAAGATAATTTTAATAATCTTCTGGGTTTTAAATTTGTGTGATCCTCTGTTCTATGAAGTCTAGTTTTGTGTGAATTGCCTCACTGCTTCTGGCTTGGTACAGACACGAAAATAATTTCCTTCAGCAGACAGTATATATTCTAATAGACAAAAAAAAATAAAGGAAGAAAAAATGTTCTGCTACCACTTTACAGATGGAAGAGAAGGAACAAACTGGTTGAGGTATCTTCACAAAATCAAGTAGAATTTGTAGCATGAATCAGAATAAACATTTTTTAAGCCCCAAATGCACTAGCAACTGCATTTATTCTCCCTCTTTATAGTTTTGCAAGATTTCACAGAGCTTTTTAGAATGTGCAAAATGTTATTAGTTTTAACATAATGAGAAACAAAAATGATAACAAGCTTTGAAAAATAATGGCTTCTGTGATTGAGGAGAGCACACAAATATATTTTCAGTTCTCTTTCCCCTCACTTAACTCCAAAAGAAAAAGTATTTGCAATTCAAACTAAAACTGTTGCCTGCATTCTTCAGCTGCAGATAAATTCTTCCTATACCATCTGTATCAAATGCCATTAAGGAAGCTAATGCAATTACTAAAATACAAGTGGATATTTCCTGCATACAGCAAGGTTAAAAAGGTCATTGATTAACTGAATGGAGTATGTGCTTTTTATATTTGCTGTTCTCAGTACTTTTCTTCATGGTCTATTCTCAGTCCATTAAATATAGCCATCAAAATTCAGCGATTTGATGGCAACAATGACCACATATATGGATGCAAAAACTGGGAGCATCAAGTGCGTGACCTTAGCTAATCTGGAATAAATGATGTATGCCTGGCAATTATCCTGAAATGCTCTGGTTTACTTGACTTCTTTTTCAATGTTCTTCTGTTGGCTCAAAGATATGCTAATTATTTCTTTTCACTATGACTTATTAATGTCTAAAAAAAGATTAATTTCCACTATACTATTTTAGTCATGCCTGTGGCATTAATGAAGTCATGGGTTCAAAACCTCGAAGTCACCATGCTGAACTAGTCAGTGTGAATTTCTATTTTGAAGAAATCTAACATAGGCTGATAAAATCAATTTAAAAAAAAATCCTTATGAAATAAGATCACGGTTTTGAACTTCTTTTTATTATTATTAATACAATGTGTGTATAAGTCTAACTGAATACGACCACAATTTCATCTGGTCTTTATCAAGGTTTGCCTGCATTTTTTTTCAATGATTTTACTTTGTGTCAACTTAAAACCTTATTGGAGCTGGAATCAATTGTAATATTAGCAAAAACAAAAGTTAAATGTTTTTATATCTTATGTTGAACTTAGAAAAAAAGATGCAATTAACTATACTTTAGAGCTTGCAGAAATCTTTCACTCAGTTATAGCTTCTACTTCTCTGAAAGTCTCAGGTATGGCTAAATAAAAAGCTTGAGAAAGTTTAATACATTTAACCCAGCTCACAGTGAAAACTTGGCCTTTATTACTCCTGTACAGCATGTCATCAAAACCACGGGAGCTTTGTATAGAAAAGAATGTTTATGACAAAATAAAGACATGCTATTCTAT